TACATAAATAACTTTATTAAGCTAGTTTTCATTCTACAGAATTATAAAGCCAACTCCTAGTGTTGAAGGATTTTGGGTTGTGAATATATGTTAGAATGGAAATTATTAGTTTAGAATTTAGAATTTGTTAATCTTTTAATTTGATATTACTTGTCTGTCTAGCTAGAGATAGCGCATAACTTAAGTAGATGAGTGTTATGAATGCATATATAATATACTATGAGTATTTTGCTCCTACATAAACCTTATACAAACGCAGCCATCAGTTAGTTAAAGATGAGTGAATAGATGAATACTAGGGATACTTCTACATTAAACCCAGATAGTACTTTTGACCTTTAGTATGTCATCGGCAAACGAGAATTAAAGGGGCTCCACAGCACAGTTTCTAAAGTGACTAAGAATATTTCAATAAATAGTGAATAGATAGGATATTTCCATTGGGCTGATATATAGTTGATAGTCATTTAAATTCGCTAGAGAAGTGTGTCTGATAGCGACGATGCTACGATTTTCGTCTGTGCATCGAGGCAAATAAACATCGGTCGTAACTCATTTTGAAGGCTTTTCCCATTTTGTGTATACAAATAGTAACAGATACAAATTCAACTTTCTTTGTAGACGGATCATAAATAGTGGATTAAAAACTGTGCCAGATCTGGGAGATTTACCGCCCTATAATATACTACAAATGATGTAAGCTCGCATAAAAAATTTCTTATTGAAATTCAATTTAATATGAGAAATTTATATTTGTCTGTGTCTAGAGATCTCGATAATAATCAAATTTCCCGAATTGATTCCAAATCCATTCAAGTGAAGACTGCACAACTGTAAGTAGGATTCCCGTAATACTTCCTAAACTGATTCTCCCGTTTTGACTAATTAGTGTTTTAGCAAACAATGAAATAACTTTTATTGATGACTCGGCATTTCTGGGCTCGAAAATAGCAAAGCTGTAAGATAACTGCAATTAGTTTATCATTTTTATCATTATTATTAATTATTATTAATAACCTGTTGTTGAATATATTTAGTTCATTAAACGATAATCACAAACTTACCGAAATTCACCCGAATGCATTCAATGGCATCATAGACATGACAGAACTGTAAGTGAAACATATACAGATATATACAGATCTATAAACTTATACGTACATTTACTAATCACAGTGATCTCTCGAGCACATCGCTTGTCCGCCTGCCCGCAGCTGGACTGCAGACCCTAGAAGTATTATACATAGCCAATACGCACACCTTGAAGACAATACCTTCCATATACAACTTTCAGGTATGCATATGTCAATATGACTATTTCAATTATTTCGCACGTCTTCTCTACTCTCTTTACAGAACCTACAGAGAGCTCACTTGACCCACTCGTTTCACTGCTGCGCCTTTCAATTCCCGTCGAGGCATGATCCCCAGAGGCACGCCCAACGCATGCAGGAAGTGGAGAAATGGAGAGATCAATGCAAAAACAACCGGGATGTGCACACAAACTATGAAAGAAGTTTAGGCATGACCAATCTCACGCCATTGGCGAATGTGTCGGAGGTGCAGCCTAGGTAAACGGACAGATTCATAACTAACAAAATCAATAATGATGAAAATTTCTGAATTGCAATTTAAGTGGTTCTACTATAAACAACCTCCTGACGGAATCTACCAACACGTACGCCTATATGGCTGATTCCACATTGAACAACATTGGCATCTTCCACGAGGAGATAACAATAAACCCCGACGATGATCAGCTGGCTGAGTATTGCGGTAACTTCACGTTTAGGTGATTGGCTTTCAAGGCTTTTGCTATTGTTTTCTAAACTTAAATGTTTCACAGGAAGCCCCATGTTGAGTGTTATCCCATGCCGAATGCCCTGAATCCCTGTGAGGACGTCATGGGCTATCAGTGGCTGCGAATTGCGGTTTGGATTGTGGTTGCCCTGGCCATAGTTGGCAACGTCGCGGTTCTCACTGTCATACTCTCAATTAAGTAAGTTTTTTCTATTGTCGAAAGAATTCCGGCATTTATTACTGTCTTCTTTAGGTCGGAGAGTCCATCAGTGCCACGCTTCCTCATTTGTCATCTCGCCTTTGCCGACCTGTGCCTGGGTCTCTACCTGCTGCTCATTGCCTCCATCGATGCGCATTCAATGGGCGAGTATTTCAACTATGCCTTCGACTGGCAGTACGGTAAGCGAAACTCTTGGGTCATTCGATATTGAGGGAGGTTCTTTGAGCATTCTATTCGCACAGGCTTGGGCTGCAAAATAGCTGGATTTCTGACCGTCTTCGCCAGCCACTTGTCGGTGTTTACCCTGACTGTCATCACGATTGAACGCTGGTTCGCCATCACGCACGCCATGTATCTAAATAAACGCATCAAGTTACGGCCAGCTGCAGTCATTATGCTAATGGGCTGGATTTACTCCATCGCAATGTCCTCGCTGCCCCTGCTCGGCATAAGCAATTACTCATCAACCAGGTGAGTGCCTACAGAGGAATCTTTTTCATTTGCTGCCAACTCATTCCTGTTTACTCTAGCATTTGTCTGCCGATGGAGAAACGCGACATATACGATTCCATATATCTGGTCTTAATCTTGGGCTGCAATTTTCTTGCCTTCACGATTATCGCCATTTGTTATTCGCAAATTTATCTGTCGCTCGGTAAGGAGACGCGACGGGCCCGTCAGAACCATCTAGGCGAGATGAGTGTGGCCAAGAAGATGGCGCTTCTAGTGAGTCCTCCTTCATATATTTCCTTGGATAATTCAGTAAATTTTTTTACTACTTGTTTGCTTTTCAGGTCTTCATCAATTTCAGTTGTGGCGCACCAATCGCATTCTTCGGTCTCACCGCATTAGCCGGCTACCCGCTGATCAATGTAACAAAGTCGAAAATCCTACTAGTATTCTTCTATCCCTTGAATTCATGTGCGGATCCTTACTTATATGCCATCCTAACTTCCCAGTATCGGCAGGATTTGCTAACGCTGTTGTCGAAGTATGTATCTGAAACCAATACATCTGCAGTCCTTATAATAATATTTCCCCACAGATTTGGTCTCTGTCGTCAAAGAGCTCTCAAGTACAAGCACTCCGACTCGATGCATGGCACCTCACACTACACCATTCGCGGCTCCATTGAACGGGAACATTCCGTTGGCCAAAAGTGTCAGAAAATTGTGGCTGCCGAGGCGCAAAATATGCTTCGGAATAATGAGGATTATGTGTAAATAGCACAGGTCAAGAAAACTTAGTAAACAAGATTATCAATAGAAATTTCGATATAACCGGAATGTCTCTATTAAGGTCAGTCTTTGGGGACCTTTGATGTCAAATCTTACATCGAGACATGTTTTCTGAAGATTTCTACCATCTAAAAGCTGTTTGTGGTATATATTGATAAAATATAAATAGAAAGTACCATATCGTAAAGTAATAATCATGATTCTGACGTGATATTGCTTAATTGGTTTCAGATTTGAATTCAATTCAAAAAGAAAATCATTTTCACTAACCATTAACCTTGATTTTCAAATTTCAATGGTATAAATGGATTTAGCGTAAAAGTAATGTCAGCTTCTTTATAGTAAAATTATGCTAATTTATTTAATAATTATAAGCTAATGAAAATTTGATGTATGAATAACAAGAAATTCATATGGTAATCAAAGTTTGGATGTAAGCTTATATACATATAAATAAATATTTCGAAATTTGATAATATTCAATTCAAATATGAATATTTTATTAACTCAAAATAGATTCAAATTCTTGTAACGTACTATAAGCAGTTAAAATACTAAAATACTATCGATGCTAAAGCTTTTTAACAAGGAGGCGTTATGCAGCCCTTATAAAATACCAAAATACTAGGCCAGGAATCTACCAAGTCAGTCTGTCAGTCAGTTGTCAGCCTGCCAGAATGTCACGCCTCTATTACATTCTAGCTGCAATAATTGCTTTAAAAATGGTTCTATGTGCTTCGCAAAACTATAAAGATAATACTAACAAGTCCCCATCAAAGGCAGCCACATTTCATTTTCCTGAATACGCGTACAAAGAAACAAGCAAAAATGTAAGTAGATCTGAGCTTTTATTGATTTTTCACATGAGCTGTTGCCTCTGCTTGTTTTCTTAGGAAATCATCTATCATGACTTTGAGCTTGCCTGTAGCCAGAACTCGCTGTGCGGCAATAATCCATCGATGGTCTCCAAGCTGAACTGCTTAAGGAAATGCATATCACATTCGTGCTACCAAGATATCTACGCCTTCGATGAGGTATGTCTGTCGGCCAAAACTGTATTATTATAATTATGATAAAGCGAATCGAAGTAACTGTTGACTTCCCCTTTTGCAGCTGGAGGATGGTGAAATTGATGTCAGGATGAATTCGTTCAAGGGCTGCGTTATACAGCGCATGTAGCATAAGGCGCCCATCCTGCATAGGTTGTATTTCACGAACTATCTGCAGGAGCTGCACTGGAAGATATCCCAGTATATTTTAAAATGGATATAAGCTAGCTAGTTACAGCTGTTTTTAGTTATGTTCTAACTTTAGTTTAAGTACTTCAATTGAAATGTGAAAAGATGTGAGCTTTTAGTTAGTAATTAATGTAAGTAGACCGAACAGACCTATGACTGTTTATGCATTTGAATATAATCTAGTCTAAATATAGCATGCTAAGTATCTCACATATGTCATTTAATGCATTAGCTGCTTAAACCACTATTTAATAAGAATATATTTACTTTGGCATATGCCAAGTCACGAAACATGTTAATCTCTTCTACACACTTTAGCTATTAATTTGTATTTAGTTTAATGGTTACAGGGTATGCCAGTCAACTGATACTCTCAATGCTAGATCCATTGCACATACAAGCTTTATTAAAATGGGAAATAGACGTATGTAGTTAGGTACAAATGTGTCAAATACGTCATTCGGCCGTACAATAGCGAGCTATATACTTGAGCCTATTTGTATGCTGATTATCAAGATCGGGAATAATTTTATTGAGACAACTCTTGCTAGTGGATGAGAATTCGGACTGCCTTGCTTAGGTGTCCAAATAACGATGAATTCTTTATTAACATTCTAAATTCACTGCAAATTTAGTTGGAATATACATATAAAGAAGAAATAGAATACATAGAAATATGCGAGCGATTTATTCAATGATATAAGTTGGTATCAATTAAGTCAATACCAAGTCCAAAATTGATTGTACTTGTATGTATCTAAGTGTATACAAAGGTGAGCACTCTCCATTTTGCATACCTCCGCTCATTCTTTCCAAATCAAGATAAAACTCATTTTTTATGCACATTCACGAAGTGAAGCATATTGGTTTAGTGTAATGTTCGTCTTGTTGTTTATCCGTCCGTCAGTCTGTCCGTATGAACGCCATAAATTTCAGCGTTATTGAAGTCATCTGATAAAGTGCTAAGATTTTCCCGACACATCCAATAGGGATAGGAAAATGCTTTTTCTAGTACTTCAGATAAGCTATTAAAAAGCTATGAAGTTTAAAGTGCTAGAGGCTAACTTGGAATATATATTACTGTTGGCTGAAATTATCGATGACCCAAAAATTTTACGACCATTTTGAGGAGCGTGGAAGAGCTAAAATTCCCAGTTTTGGTGCGTACAGTTTTATTACTTTTGAATATTTTTAAGGATTGGTTAAACATAGCTTAACTATTGGTTGTGCGAAAATTCAGGAAAAACAGGGAATCACAATTTATAAAAAATTCCATACATATACAGTAGAATCCGGTTATAACGGCTCCAGTTACTGCGACGAAAATTCTGGTCCCCAGACAAACTTATATAGTCCCTTGAGCTTCGTTATAACCGGATTCTACTGTATGTGAATATTATGCGGAATGAAGCGCTCTACTGTAACATGTACTTACTTAATAATGCATTTTTATAGGGGCTTTGTGCAAGAAACTCTGTGAGAAACACATTGCAACACACATTCGGTTGGGACTATGACTATATCCCAGTCGGGCACACCCGAAAGGAAGTCGTTTTACTTTCCGTTCTATTAATTTGCATCAACTTTTGAACTCACATAAAAACTTTAATAAAATGGAATTATTTTTTAAGTGTTCAAGTATACTATGTAAGAAATATAACTCAGTCGAGTAGTCCAGGCCATTACACTCGTCTCGTCCGTTTTTTATGCACGAATTATTGTAAGGGAACCCATTCTAATTATCCGAGTCATTATCTAAGGAGAAATACTACAGGCGCAATGTCAAGCAAGCAGAAATTCGCACACACATACACACACACAGTAACATATTTACATATGCTGGTTTACCCTATATAGTATGTATGTATGTAATCATAGTACACACTCCATTAATGAAAGACAGCACTAGGTGAAAAGTTGGGAATGACTAACCAAAGCGCGTTGGGAAATTAGCGAAATGTGTCGCTTGGTCAAAACTGTTTTAGTCTAACACGACACGTCCTGGCGATAGGTTGCAAAGTGAAAATTCTGTCTACCAAAAACTAAATAGAAGAACCATATTCAATCGGCTCATTCTTCACAATATATTGCAAATTATTCAACGTTGTTTTCAACTCGCAAAACTGTTATCACGATAAGTTGACATATGTTTGAATTAACACCGATTTCACATGTGATATATCAGAATCGTGCATATGTTATATGTTGTCGTTATCTTAAATTAATTATGCCGCAAATAAAATTATAATGCGTAATACGTCAACAGCCATTCGAGCGGTAATCAACAGATAAATTTATCAATTATCAGAGCGCTCGATCGAGAATAGTATTTGTCATTGAAGCACGTTGAACTACAGCAAAATTCTGTTCAAATTTAAGTGAAACAATTGTTTTCTGCTACAATGAATGCTTGATTTAATTTCTTACCTAGGAATTCTCTGAGAAGGTAATTTTTAATAAAGTGTAATTGAATTAAAACCTGAAAAAAAATATCAAGTTCTCACTAAAGTTTTATTTTAATTTATGGAAGTGGAAAAATATCTAGGAGTATCTCTTCCCCTTTTTAGTTATGTTCAAAATTTCTTCATATTTTCAATACATATTATAATGATGATTAACGGTAAGCGAATGAAGCTCAAGTAAGAAAACTCACTAAATCATAAATTAAAATTCGTATGCAAGCAAAAATCAAGAAACAGTCTAAATAAATAATGTATATCAGAAAAATGATTGCTCTCTTCCCATACTTCACATTTTCCAGACACACTTCTTTGATATTCAAATGTAGCTTTAATTTAACGTTAGATCCCGCCGAATACAGAAAAATCATCAAAGTCTATACCAAGCACACAAGCGAAGTTAACGCACGCAACGCAGCCACACTCTACGTGTCTCCATGTTGCATTAATTTGATATGCAAACATTTTACTAATTTCATGTAAACAAAAGTTTACTTTGCGCGACTCGTAATGAGTTTCTTCCCCAGTGCTCGCCTGCCTGGTTGGTTAACGACAGTTTCCCAAAAAAGGAAAAAAAGACAATGACGCCATTGCATGTGTTGACAGTGACGAGAGACGAGAGACTAGAGACGAGGCTGATTCAGCCTTCGAGTGCCAAAATTTAATTGCTGCTAATTGTCGAGTTTTATTGCCTGAAACCATTGGAAATAAGAGTTCAAGCTATAATGTAAATAGCATAAAATTTATGCAAAGGCGTACCATGTACATTAAATTTTATGAATTTTTGATGAGTTGATTAAGAGCAGTTGGCCAGACTATCCATCTATTTAATCATCTGTACAAAGGCATTGATCCCGACTTCTATGAAACTTGCTTTTTCTATGGCAGACCACTATTGTGTCATATTCTTCAACTCCATTCTCTACTTAAGTATATTTTGCATGTGTTATGAGTTAGAGTTACGAATTAATAATATTGCAAATTTAGATGTTTCATCTATACTAAAATTTATTACAAGTAATTTTCTTCCTGCATATCTATAATGTATTCGTTAGACTTGAAACATATATATTTTAATGACCTAAATACTTCGAGAAGCTACAATTGGTTTCTTGAAGATGAAGAAATACATCCTTCCTTGGCTTATAATGTGAATAACGAGACTGGCGAACAGGAATATCTCGGCCAGAAAAACATAAAAAAAAGTATCAGTAAACTTTTAATATAAATCTTAACAGTTAAATAGAATTGATCATCGAATTATTGAGAATAGGGGAATTTTTTTCTCTGACAATAATTTAAAAAAATAAATAGTTAATATTAAAAAGAAGCATTTGTATATACATTTTTAATATAAAACAAATTTTTGATATACAACAAAAATCAACATTAATCTATTGCTCCCTCAGCACCTATTATTTGGCCGAAATCATACTTCTCATTGTACAGATAGATTCATTTGAAACATTTGAAGCATTTTCATTCAAATGCTATAACTTAAAAAATATTTTATTTGGTTCAACATTTGTTTTTTTGTTTTGTTTTTTTTTTTTTTTCAACGAAAATGATGAAAAATGTTTTGGTTTACTCAATAGCGAGAATCTCATAATCAAGCAGTTCTGAATTTGGAAATTGATAAATGAATTATAAGTGTTGTCTGAATTAGTTCATAGCTACTTGAATTTTCTTTCATTCCATAAAGCTTTAGGCATTTTACTGTTTCTTAATTGGGATAACAATTATATTTGTCTATCTTTCAACGTCTAGAAATATATTTTCTCATTACGGATTAAATAAATTAAGAGGTATGTCTCTCCTTATGAATGGGTGTTACTATAAATTATTTAATTAATGAAAAGACAATGAGAGATATCTTACAAAGTGTTATTAACATGTTTTTTGTAGAATGTGTTACATTTATTCAAATTCCGTTTATAACTATGCAAATGACAAATTTATTAATACTGCGTTGCATTTGTTGATAAAGGAGAATTCGTGTATATCTAGAAGTCAATCTCTTTAGAGGCGCGAACAGGATAAAAACACATATTAAATTTATTTTTTCATAAAAAAAAAAAAAAAACCGCGAAGATGCATCCAAGAATCGGGCCAACGGCAAATAGCTGTCTTTATATATGTTTATAAATATATGTATACCACACATATATTTATAAACGTATAAAGTTTGGATTGCATTGGGAATAATATTTATAAAATTAACAATATTTATCAATGTAATTGAAAATTCATAAGATCTGAAAATTGCCCGGAATTTATCTGTGGCTTTAGCAAAATTGGTTGTTGTTTGGATTTTCTTGTAATTTGTTCTTTTCTATTTAATTAATGTAATGTAATTATTCAGTATCTCTTCAACATATCAGCAATAGAAACGGGTGTTCGGGTTTATTAATAAAGCTAAAAATAATAAAAACAAAAACAAAACCAACAGCAACAACAGGGTACAAAAGCAACAAAACGAAAAGGCGTTGAACGTCCGAAGAATTTGCCCATGTTGTTGGTTTAGTGCGCTGTATTTTGTGTACTTTAGCAGGCAATAATAAAATATATTGTTCATACGCAGCATTGCCTACGCTCGCTCGCCTCCAGCAGCATCCGAGCGGCAAAAAGTCGTTCTGTCAGTTGGGAACGGCGTCTGCTTTAGGCAGCTGTGCGGCTGTCTGCCTGTCTGGGGCTGTATAGACAATTTGTATCGTATGTTTTTTCGCAATTAAAGCAAATAATATGGTAAATTTGATAACATAGATGAAAATATAAAAAAGTATTGGAAACAAAAAAGAAGAAATATAATTGCTAGAGAACCAACAGATTATCGAAGAAGCAGAGATTGAAACACGTTCATTTGAGTGCACAAATTCCACAATTTGAAATATGCAAAGTTTTGTTCGTTAGTTTGTATGTGTATTACATATTTGCTTAGAAGGTGTGTCAACAATAAAAAATCTGAGAAATATTACTTGCAAAATCATAAGCTGTGCATTGTTTAGCACTGACTAACAGTGTTATTTACAGCGAGTGCTTTG